TCCACCGCAAAGTAAACAAATTCTGGCAAAGATTTCCCAAGTGCGACCCATACCTAAATACGAAAACTTTTGTTGCATGATTTATGGTGAGAGATCGCTTGACATTTCTGTGGCAACTTGTTACATAATGGTGAGTGTCAACTTTCAACTTTATTACAGTTGAACCCCACAGGGTTCGAACTCTCAGGGGAAACGAAAAATGGTTCGAAGTAGCGGGAGTTCGAAATAGAAGATTGTAAGTGCCCAGGGAGGTGGGCGGAGGGCTACTCCCAGAAAAATTTGGTGGGGCTGGTCGAGCCGCTTTCCAAAACACTTACCTTATTTATGACCAAAATCTGCGATTTTTCCTACCCTATTTTATATTTATGACCAGACCAAAAATTCGATACCCTATTTATGACCGTTACGGCTGACACAGCTGCCCTATACATAATTTTTGAAGGGCTTTTGTCAATGGTCTTATCGATAATGAAATAGCCTGCGAACAGGCTCCCAGTGAGTCCTAACGAAGCTTCGCTCTCCGAATTCTTCAGTCTCGCGCTTGCCGAATCTTTTAACCGTCCTCGCCGGGAGCCTGTTGGTAATATAATGGTAATGGTAACTATATTTATTCACGGTAAATCCTTCAGCAAAGATTATAAAAGGATAAAAGATCAACTAATTATCGCTAACTAAGCTAACTAACCTAACCTACATACTAAAAGCTACTTTACAAGGATGCCGTGTTAAGGCCGCCGCACACTAGCCGATTTTTTTTCGGCCGACAGAAAATCTTTACTTGTTGGCTAGTGTGCGGTGAATTCAGACAAGTCTGCGACAAAATCGGGGCTTGTCGGGCGATATCTGACAGTGCTAGATCTCAAAACGTCTTGTCAAGCCTTGTCGGCTGGTGTGCGGTGGACCAAGACAATTTGTCGGGGCGCGCGCGCGCCTCAACCAATTAGGAAATATCATGACAGTCACGCCAGTGGAATAGGCGCCATCTTGATTTTGGTTGACTCGGCCCTAAGCCTCAACGCGATTAGTCGCGACAAAAAATCGGCTAGTGTGCGGCAAGTTGATGGCCCGACAAATTTAAATTTAAATTTAGTTCTACTACGTTCTACTACGGCTAGTGTGCGGCAGCCTTTAGATGTCTTTGAGGTGTTCACAGGTTTATGATGAAAAAGTAGCTTCTTCTAAAAAAACATACCCAATTCATGACTGCAGTACAAAAGACCATACCAAAATGGCCAAATCGATAGCCTATTTATGCCAAAACGGCTGAAAACCCGTAACTTTTGGGCCGCACATACCTATATAGCCCATATGAGGGGTACCCCCCCCCCCGGGAGTAAATGACTAAAGGTCAAATCCAAGGAAAATGGTTTTGAGTCCGAAGTAGCGAGGTACTCGAAATAACAGAGTTCGAATTAGCGGGGTCCAACTGTACTTCCATCAATTTTATATTCCGTATATTATAAATAATCTTACAGGCAGGCTTTAACATAAAAAAGAGATGAGGAGTCTATAAAAAAGCAGGGATGCTTGAGGTAACAGACCCCTTTCAACGGTCATCACCTAACTTTCTTTAGGTTAAAAATGCTTACCTCAAAATCAGTCATGTCACTTACATTTTGTTTTAGAAAGCCCTCCAGAGAGGTTTTCCCTTTTATACGAAGGAATAGGTTATTATTTTTTTTCTTTTTCAGGGAACTGTCATTTTTCGTTTTAACCATTCGTCCAAGGACATTTTTGCTTTGGAATTTTCCGTTTGAGAGCGAACGCAAAGGGTTTCAGCATCTGCTAATTTTGTCAAATGCTGAATGTAAACAATACCATATAACATGTACCGTAATGATTCGATTTAGCGCCTGAGGCGCTTATTTACGTTTGGTACCTCAAGGGAGGGCGCTTACTCCCTTTTTTGAGAAGCAACCGAATGTTAAAAAAAAATTGATACGGTATTTATTTAAAAAAGGAGCAATAACAGAAACAGTAACAGTAACAAATATACTGTGAATGTTGAGTTAAGGTGAGGGCATTCAAAAAAGGGGGGGGGCGCTTATCGGAAGGAGGGCGCTAGATCGAATTACTACGGTGATACGAGCTCCAAGATGAACAGTTGCCTCGAAAATTCCTGCGGCGACTTCGAGATAGCCTGGCCGCTTTTTAAAAGTTTGATTATCATTCTTTTTTTGTGTAAACTTTATGTAAAAAAAAAAAATGGCCTTAAGTTTTGTCCAATAGAGGAAAAAGAAAAAAAAAGAAGGATTTTTCCGCCTTTGAAGGTGGGAAGTAGCCTAAAGATCAAAGAAGCCCCTCGTACTGAATGGAAACGACCCTTACTGAACAAACAACTTCACTGTTTTCCATTTCATCATTGATTTTTGTAATACTGTATCCGTTCCACGTCATTTGTAATTCACTAGTGGTGTGTTGCAGTCGCCTTGTAATATATTCACTGATTGATACCCTTATCTCGCTAATTGCAATTAGCTATTTTTCAACAATAACCGGTCATTTTGACTTTGTGTTTAAGGAAATCTCATGCAGGGAAACCTCTTGATTAGCGAAACGTCATCCTTTTCGAAAACTGGCTCCGGTTTCAAAATTTTTTCCCTCTACATTTCCCGACATAGTCAATGAAACAACCGAACTCACTCAATCGAACCCAATCCGTGCGTGGATTGAGTTCGGCAGTCAAACGAAACCGAGTGACACCGAATTTTTTGTGAGTTCGATTTCCGGACCAGTCGAACAAATCAAACCTAATCGTAATCAGACAACTGAACTAAATCAATTTTATTTGTGCGAGTTCGATTGAGTTTGATTGAGTTTGATTGAAATTCAGCTCGATTGGGTATGAGATACTATGCCTATGGCGGAAGACTAAAACCTTAGGCGGGTGTTTTCAAGTCCTCCGGTTTGAAGGGCGTTTTCGAAAAGCTCCGTTTTCGTGACAGATAAGTGTGGAGGGTAGGCCTAACCGTAGAAATAAAGCTGCGTTTTCAAATTTCACTAAAAACTGCTAAAAATAGTGTGGATATTGATGAAAGACTGCCTGCTATCCAGTCTGGGGACCACCAAAGCTAGCACGTCTTTCCAAAAAGAGGAGAGGAGTAGAGGGGAAACGACATGACAACATAGTGAAGCGTGAGCACTCGCAATTGGTTAGTTATGCAACGAGCACGATAGATCAAATACACAGAACACTTTATGAAAAAATGACCTTTACACATATGGCTCAAAATTCTCAACTGTAGCTCTGTGATCCGTACGTTTAGGTTCTCTGTGTTGGAAAGAAGTCACAAACGAGGCTGATTATAATATACCATTAAGATTGCATGGCGCTGGAAATCATTCAAAAAGCAAGCATCCCCCTAGGATGCTACAACTGTTCGTCGATCTTTTGAGGGAGGGAGAAGGGAGGGGAATGTTTGCTGTACCTTGCCATGGCAACCGCTCTCGAAAATACTCATTGGCCAATTTTTCTCCTTTTTAGATATCATTCTCCTTTTAATTTTCTTGTTTAAGTTGTCGCTATCGTTTCTTCGTTAACATGTTTATACATAGTGATAAAAGAGTTTACCAATCCTTATATTTTGCCATCAAGGTGTCCTGTCGTTAGCCTGGGCACAGCGATTCTGTTACAACATATTTATCAAGAGCAGAAATCAACATTGTTCAGTGGCTGTTTATCAGTCTTTGATAAGATACAAATGTGCCAAGTTTTTCTACATTTTAGATATAATTATTGGTTGTAATACCTTTATCTTTAATGTTGTCGCTATCGTGTTTTCGCTAACATGTCTATACACAGTGACAATAGACTTCATAAATCTGTACATTTTGCCATCGAGTAGTCCTGCCGTTAGCCTGGGCACAGTGGCATTAATACAAATTATTTATCATGAGCAAAAATCTGATATTTTGACGATACGAATCTTGTTAAAATCACTCTTCCAAATTTCATCGTTACTTTTTATGGTACAAACTGAGTTTGCTATTCGTTCTATTTTGCCCTCTCTAATTTGGCCTGGTGAAGTTGCATCCTCTCCAAGGACTAAGGTTCCAATAGCTAAGTCATAGACGCTTGGTTTCTCATCTAGAATCATGTGTTCCCTATTCATTATCATGCTCNACAACAGACTTCATAAATCTGTACATTTTGCCATCGAGTAGTCCTGCCGTTAGCCTGGGCACAGTGACATTAATACAAAATATTTATTGTGAGCAAAATGCTGATCTTTTGACGATACGAATCTTGTTAAAATCACTCTTCCAAATTTCATCGTTACTTTTTATGGTACAAACGGAATTTGATATTTGCTCTATTTTACCCTCTCTAATTTGGCCTGGTGAAGTTGCATCCTCTCCAAGGACTAAGGTTCCAATAGCTAAGTCATAGACGCTTGGTTTCTCATCTAGAATCATGTGTTCCCTATTCATTATCATGCTCCTTTTTTTCCCGGGAAGAAAGACTTCCAGACGGTTATTCTCCACATCGATGTATTCTCCTACAAATCTAGGCTGATATCTACCGTTTTCCTTGATAAGAACAGCAGAGCCTCGCATGATACAAACTACGAAAAGTAAGACATGCAATGAGCCTAGTTGATCCGAGCGTCAAGGCTTGACTTGTTAGAAAAAAAGTTAAATAGTTTGTAAGGAAGGATTGCTTACTCAGGAGAGGAGTTATGTATGTAACAGTGTGTACTCTCAAAATATCTCAAATGTGAAAGCGAGTAGTCTTCCGATGTTGAAATTTCCACAACATCTCCTAATTGCTTTGCCGCACTTTCATCAAAGTTGGTAAAGCAATCGTAGGATAAAGAAGGCCTCAGGGTCATATATACAAGTCTTTGTCTTCGTCAATAGATTATAGACTCTTACCTTTGGGAATTCCACAGCCATAGACTTCGGCTCTTAGACAAATCGATTCCTTTATATTTTTTAACACTCTGATTCGTACAGACTGAGTAATAAAAGGATGTATTGGTTTTATTTGTTCCTCGTCTTCATTATAAGGTGGCTGTCAGATAAAACCAAATACAAATATTAGAAGTGAAAATTCTGTTCTCTACAATGTCTCTAAAATGGATTGATTTTACAAAGATAAACAACTTGCAGCATTCGATTACAACTAACATTAACTCCATTTCTCTTCACTACTCCCTGCCTCTCCCTTTTCCTTCCTTCTTCTCTCTCTGTTGACGAATACGATACGCCAGGTCCTATATTGTAATAAAGTTGATTTGTTATATGCTATTCTCATTTATCGTGTTTATTTAACTATTGTATAGAGCACGAGTTTGCGTTTAAGACTAGTGACTAAGCAACGCTGTTTAGACGTGTAAAAGTTCGAAAAATCGAGCATGTTTGGTCGTGTTTTTTTATTCGCTTTTTTCTCGTTTATATTTATGTCGTTCTCATTTAAGAATTATGTAGTTTCTGTTTTCTACAAATGATAAAGCAAATTATACCTCTTCATAATGGAAATTCCACCACTGTTTGAAAATTTGGCCTTTCAAGATTATAGCTTTGATCTTGTATTCGCTTTTGAGATGAATTCTTGCTCCAGTAATCTTGTACTTTTTTGGTAAGTAAATCTGAATAAAATCAGCATATCCCTCCTCTGAGCACCAATAGTTGCCTCCACCAAGTCGGCCATGGTGAGCTGTATGTTTACCTCTATGACTGGAAGCTTTGATGAATGCATCTGGGATCTGTCTACTTTCCATTCCAAGAGGAAGCCCTGTGCCACAATCTTAAATATTGAAATAACGCTAACATGAGCTTCTAAAACTCCAGCAGCAAGACATTCTACATCTAGATAGAACTGATGGCAGAATCAAAGCCAAATTAATTACGCAGGCGCACGAAATCTAACAGATAAATCAGAGGACACATTACTGTACTCAGGCCGCGAGAAACTGATTAACTTGCTGTGATAGGCTAAAGAAAGAGTTTGTATCGAATCATCCACTTGTAGAGCTCCGCCAGGACAAAGTCAAAAGAAACACATACATAAACATACAAAAAGATATAGACGGGAAAACGTAAAGAAGGACGTGCAGTGGATCACTGAATGCAAGTGCACGAATTCTGATAATTATCAATGGACTGGTTACCAAACGGTTTAAATACTTTTAAAAGCGCATATTCTTTCCTAGAATTTTGGAACAGTTTTCTTTCGCGTGAAATTAGACCAAAAATGTCTGCCTTGCAATGTTAGCTCTAACTTGGAATTCTAACTCAAACTCCAGATCAAAATTGTATAAGGTACGCTATTGAGCAGGGAGTAACGGAGCACTGGGTCTGGACGCCTTTTATGACCAGGTTCTTAAGTAAATAAATTCAAAAGAAGTTCATATATTGGAGGGAAAAGGAAAGTATATTTAGTTATCATTGGTTAATCAGTTACCTCGGCATGTTGGCAATGCTTGGTTCCACTGTCCATTGTTGCATTTTGCCTGAGAGGAACCTTGTAACAAACGATCTCCCAAACATTCAAACTCGACAACTGAGGTATGTCTAAAAACTCTTCCGATGGTTTGTCCATTTTTTGGATGACCGGGATCAGGGCAGGATGCTGTGAAACATGAAAATTAACCAGAGTACGAAAAGACTATTACGTTTATATAAAAGAGCATCAGAATAAACTTACTTAGATTAAAAACACAATCGTTCACAATTTGAAAAACATGCTGATCAAAATACGGTTGTCATGGTTATATCAAGTTCCTTGAACAAATACATGCCATCCCAAATAGCATACAGACAAATTTCAGATGAAACAAGGGCTGTTCTTTTAGAAACGCTGACTTCGATCTGTCTCGTTTCTCTTCAGTTCGTTATGGAAAACACTCCATTAGATACCTTGGTCCTTACCTCTGGTCAAAACTGAGCGCAATTGACAAAAATAGACTGACCATCGGTAACTTTAGAAAGAATATTAGAGACAAAGACCTCAGTGCTCTAATCGAGGATGCGTGTTCAAACTGTCTTATATGCACTTCTTAATTCTTGAACTACTCACTTAAACATCAATTTTTATTTCTCTCTTGTATTATATTGTATTTGTAATTTTAGAAACAGTTTTTAAATTATTTATCCTCATTTATTCATCCTAATCTTCAGTATAGCAAATTATCGCATTTTTTTTAATTGTATAATGTAAATTTTAATATATTGTAAAGTAGTCTAATGTACCCAATTAATTCTTAATTTCGTATTCTTAACTGTACATTTTAAATCTTAAGCCATTGTAACGTAGTAGTGTCCCCAATTAGCTTCTGTAAGCTAAATACCTACCCTGACACTTAAATAAAGTTATTATTATTATGTTTTCAATTAAATATCGACAAAATCGTAAATGGTTAAATTCAGCAAAGGGCAGTCCACCCTTGGACTGATTTCTGGGATGAGAGGGGTTAAAAGAAATTGCACAGTTGAGATTGTACTTGTAACGAAAGATTAACCTGAGCACTTCGGTATTTCTCCATTTCACTTCTTGCTTTTGAGACAAGTAAGTTTGCCGCTTCCCACCATGGTGTAGTTTTCACTGCACTTAGTCCGCACGAATCCGCCGACAGCAAAGCGAAACGTAATTGTAAGGAAAAGCATGTATGGTAGGCTTCGCAAAAAAGGCATCCATAAACTTAGACCACTCTATCTATGGGTTTACCAGCGCAATAAACTCACGCGGAATATTGGGAGAACACAAGAAAAGCTTGTCACGAGCTGTTTGGCGATTGATTTACAAACTTTTTCGTGTTAAAAGGCTTCTCCTTCAAGCTAATTCATAATTCTCGTTACATCTAAAGGTTGCTGATTTAACAGGTCTGAAATCATCACCGCCTGTAATTCCATTGTCTGGGGCTACGGGATCTGAACATTGAGGTAAGGGTAGACGAGAAAGTCTAGACTGTTCACAGCTTCTCTATTTACGCACGCGGAAGAATAAGCGAGAGATGCGAGCGCAAATCAAGCGGGAGTGGGGTTGGGGTTTGCGGACGAAGCGAGCAAGAAGAATAGAAAGACTGTAGACATCTTTAGAAAAAAGTGGACTTATTAGGCTCCTCCCCCATCATCGCCTTGCTACTAACAGCTCCAACCCTTGACAAATTAATTAAATCGGACCAATAAAATTTGAGCGGTAAATTTCATGTCTAATTGATTACAAGTATCAGTTTGCAAACAACAACACGTACTTGCATTTGGGTGTTAAGAATGTCGTCTCAGACGACTTCGTCAACTGCGGCTCCAAAAAAAAAAACAACGACAACAACAAAAAAAACGCTGCTGAAAGAGGGAGAAAGCCGAAATCATGCGGGCTTTCCGATTTTTGTAGGATATGCGCTTGTGCTTTTGCTGTTCACTTGGGGAATCTTGGCAAGACGTCTCGCATATCTGCGGAAAATTTATTCCGAAGGTGTTACACGGTGTGACACTCTTCAACTACAATGAGCGTGACACAATTGTTTAACGAGGAATCTTCGTTCTATAACATGTTTTGGAATTTCAAGTGCATCAACAAAGTCTTCCGCTGTCTTCCGAAAACAGGCCTGTACATGTATTTCACTTCTCCAATCAGCAGAAGCACGTCGTCCTTTGTTGACAAAACGATGGAAGGAATCCTCTTCCATCTCTTCTATTTGTTCTTTTAAAATCTCATGATGCTTTTGGTTGGCGAAACAATGAGAACGACAACATTCGCACCATTTGCATTTCTTTTGCGGTTGCGTAGAGTTGGTTCATTAGACTTTCCTCAAACCTCCATTACGAATCAAGACACGTGTCAGTGATGACAACTGCTGCAAGCCGCAAAACGCGCCTGGACTTAATCATGATCGGCTGTTGTCAAGGTGATGACACTTTTGTCGCCTTTCAACTAATGGGAATTTTCCTTTTCTGGAGAAAAGGGGAATTCACTCTTTTCCAAAGATGTCTACAGCCCCTCTACTCTTCTCGGTCTCCTCTCCCTACCCGATCAAGTCTTCCGTTTTGCGCTGGAGTCCAGTTCTCTCGCGATTCTATCTGCGCGTTCAACGATCGAATGAAAATAAGAGAAAACAGAGGGCTGTGAACAGTCTAAAAAGTCAAACCAGTTCAATGTCGAAGTCGTGTTAAGTTCAATGTGCTAATTTTACCTTTTTTCCCTTTTTGTTCAGGTCCCGGAACTTTGTACCCATTGCTTTTTTGAGTTTAATGTCGTCGACCAGATGTGATTACTTTAGTTTTCGTTTCACTTTAATTAGAAAGCCTATTAACACGGTCAAATAGAAAATAAAACTAACCTTTACAACTTGGTGTTTCATTGCTCCAGCGACCGTCTGAGCACGTTATTTTTCGCACACCCTCCATAAGGTAATCTCTAGGACACGTGAACGTAACTGTTTTGTCATGACGAAAGTCATCACCAACCCTGTTTCCTTGATAGGGAAGGCCAGGGTCTGGGCAAGGCTCTGTTCAAAGAGAAGGGTTAATCCAAGCCAGTCTTAACTTATACCAACGGTAACAACTGCAATGTAACTAGGCACTAACACCCAATTACCAACTGATCTCAAGTTCAAGGGGATCTTGATTTGGGGTTTTTACTTCTTGCAACCTGAAATTTTGACGTTAAATTTTTGCTGAATATTAACCACGAGGGCCTCCTGGGGAATATTGGTCCCAGGTCGTAGCAGTATGGACCGAGCGCAATGAGCTCCGTACAAAAAGGACCGAGGGCGAATATTTCCAAGCACGGCTCGAGCTAGGTTAGCAAGAAGCTTTTTATATGGCAAACGCACAAAAAAACATGATCTGTGACCGTTTCTGGTCCAGAAAGGACTAACCAGAGCTCTCGGATTTACCTCTAGTCTACTTTGCCATATGGTAATTTACTTTCCAACACCGTACCGTCCATAAATTGAAGATTCCGTATTTTTGACTTCTAGATAAATAAGCAATTCTCAGTGAAAAAAATAAATGTGTTTCCCCATGTTACGATCTCCGTTTGCTGACGTCTCTGAGTTGGTTCGAAAAGTGCAGCTAACTTTTGATGAAAAAGTTTAAGTCTGGGATGTTAATGGGAGCAAACTTTAACAAACAAATAAACAAACAAAAGCTACGAAATAAGCGACAAAAAACAATCAGACTTATCCAAATCACTGCCTTTTTCTTACTCGGAATTCATTTCATCAAAATTGTTCTCTTGCAAACCTTTACACAATGGTAGACTGTCATTCCATTTCCCCTCTATGCATCTAAGTTTTGATGGTCCGACCAAGGTGTAGTCAGCTCGGCACTTTATTTCAACCTCACCACCTTCCCTCAGGGTAGCGTGTGTGATAATACCATTCTTTATTGAGGCAATGACGGGGCAGGAAGCTATAATTAATAATACCAGGAGAAAAATTTCAATCTGTAAACATGTTGTATATACACAGGTAGTCATGAATGCCATTGGTAGTCAGTTCATTTCTTAAATGGCTATTGTTTTTTTTTTGTTTGTTCGTTTTTTTTTTTGCACAAAGTAGAGATTTCAATCTCCATTAAAACGTACCAATGCAACTGAATTCCCTCTTAAGCCACATAGTCTGGTTACAAACCATCATTGGCGACCCCTTTAGGTAATATCCATCGCGACAGGCCAGAAAAACGTGAGTCCCATGAGTGTAGTTGACTTGAGTTGTTGGAGGATAAATGATGTACGAGTTTCTCGGAATGGTAGGTTTCGAGCATAGTGTTGCTGGAGATGGAAAGAGACAAAAAGAAGTATAGCACTATTTATTCAGTTAGCTAATACCTATAAGTTCTATGGATAGCTATTGCAGTTTATGTTATTTCGATCTGAAAGTTTTCCAATGGACAAATTGAAAACACGTGCACTGAAACGCCGCAAACTGTAGAGCTCCCTTAGGAGAACAAGAGACATTAGCTCCCTAGGGAGACAACACCTTGAATCATCGACCTGCACATGACGAAAATATGGGTCTCCACACCATGGTGAAACAGCTTACGAGTGCAAAGCTAAGCTTTTAGTTATTGCTTTGTATATACTGAGAAGCCGTCAGTTTAGGTTCTGCCCGAGGAAAGAAATAACGTCTTCTGAAAACAAAACTCACTGCTTGCCTTGGGACGAATCATATAGTGCTTATTCCTCCCCACCTTGAAATGAAAATCTAGAAGAGTCCCCATGCGAATACGTCTCAAAACTGGAAACCTTTTTTTAAAATTTTTGTTTCCCTATAGTATTCAAATTGGCAGCAAAGCAAAACGAACCTTTAAGATCAACAACACGACTGGGGCTCTCTGATGGTTTGGTTGCTCAGTTCAGATATATGAATTTAATATATATTTTCTCATATGGTTGTCACATTTCGATAATAATAAAAAAGGGTTTTACCAGCCATTTTTTAATTATAAGCACTTGTGACTAAAATTAAAGGTGTTTTACCGGTTAAATGGTCGTTATGGCAAATTTTATGCCTCGAAGATGTCACAACTCGTTTCACTGTAATTGGGCGCATTTTTGTGATACCAATATTGTAACATCTCTTGATAAAGTGTGGTAGTATTGATCTGTCAAAGTATGACTGCTGGGAAGTGCTATCATGCATATAATGGAGAATAAAGCCAAGTGTTAAGTAGCATTTATCGCCAACCAAGTTCGACACCTTGGAAGATTTTGATAAATGCTATACTCCGTAGTGACAATCAACTTACTCTCACAAAACGGCAGCTTCCCGTTCCACCTTCCATCAATGCATTCCAGCCTTGATCTACCGACCAATCGAAAATTTTCATTACAGCGAAATTCCACGGAAGCCTGGTCAATACTACTGCTAGTGTCAATAACTCGACCATTCGAAATTTGACGTAGAGCTGGGCAAAACCCTGCAAAAGAATGAAACATCATCAAAATGACAATAAAAAGGTGAAATGTATGAAATATAGATTTGTACTACACTTGAAGTGCGGGGAAAAGATATATCACAGAAGTTCCCATCGTTCTAATATACGAGGTTGAAAAATAATCACTTGCCTCTCTTCGTCGCCTCTGGGAAAAATTACGAACTTCGAAATCGGCCAGCTTCAAATTGGTTACTGCACCGGCATCGAATACTGCATTTTTTTTTTTTAGGCAACTGCTTAAGCTTTATTCGTAACGCCCTAAGTTTAACAGCGAAAATACTTGAAAAAATAAGAATTGGACTAAAAGTGAATAGAAAATGCCCTATTCCTACATACCTAAGTAAGGGGTGTGGCTAATTCAACTAGAAGGGGTAAAGTATTGAAATGATTGTGGCTAAATGATATAGATCTTTAAATTGATGGGCTAAGCTAAGACGACGAAAGGTATGGTGCGTGTAATAATTAACACTTAATGACTGGTCTCGAGGGGAATAGTGAATTTGTTTCCCGAGAATCTCAATGTTTCCCTCGACTTCGTCTCGGGAAACATTGAGAAACATTGGGAAACATAGTCGTAAGAGCATCAGTGACACACTCGACTGTCGCCTCGTGTGCCACTTTTTGTTCTCACCACATTTTGACGTCATCTGTGATCTAGAACTGAACAGAGGCTCGGCAACATGGAATCTATTTATTAAGTGGATAGCCAACGAGGCGCGCCGAGTTGGCTGTCTATCATCTCATATCCAATGAGCGCGAGTGGAATAATTGTCAAATAAAACATTTTCAATAACACCGTTGGAAAGAACGCTGAGCATACAATCATACCCACACATCTGAATTGCCGTTGTGTCCAGCTGCTTCCAAGGCATTTTATTATAGGTTTTCCAACCAGATAAAAACCCTGTTTACAAGCAAACAGCACCACGCTGCCTTTTTCGTACTTTTCTTGCTTCGGTGGATGAATTATGGTTGAGCCACGAGGAACGGCGGGTGGACCACATGTAGAACCTTCAGAAGAAGACGAATATTAGTTACACTTTACGAAAAAGAATAAAAAGTGGTAAAAGTTCAATTGAGGCCTTACACTACTGTAAAATGATATTAAAATCGTTTAAAAACTCCAAGCTTTCGCCGATCTACGGCATCATCAGGGATAAGAAAAAATTTTCCGCGTAAGGCTTATATACAGATGTAAATTAAAAACGTGTGAAGAGCGAAAGAATGTTGGGGGTAAAATGCATGAGATAAATAATAAGATACAAATATGAATAAAAACGAATGATATGATCTAATGAGCGAGTGTCGAATAAAAGGTCCGCGAATTCGCTACATTCCTCTCGGGAGTTGAGGGCAGGTTTGTAGCTTCGTATGTAAAACGTTTCCAACAGTCGTAGATTTGCGGGGTCGTTTTCTAGTACAATGGTCTTGATTTCGATGCCTTTGTGGACTTTGCTTTGGCACTTTGAAATGTGTGTCTTCACGGAGGAGTTGTCATTGTTCAGGTGTTCTCTTACACGATCGTGGATACGGCGTGTAGTGCTCCCGATGTAGTATTGGTTGCAGTTGTTACACGTGATTTGGTAAACCTGTAAATAAACCTGTAAAATTTGTAAATAAACCTGTAATATTTGTAAATAATCACATTTTATAAATATTTTACGATGTATGTAGGCTTAATTATATTTATTTTAATTATTTTTAATATCGTTACGATTGTACTATTTCTTTCTTTTTCTAAAATTTTAATTTTTGAGGGCCATTAGGTTATCAGTTTTAATACTGTCAAATGTTACCCTCGTAAAATAAAGTCTTACCTACCTACCTACCTACCTACCTGCCTACCTAAACAGCGTTGCGTAATAAGCACAATTTGGTGCTTGGAGATAGGGCAATTGGCCCTCGTGCATAGTGTAAGGCCTCAATTGAACTTTTACCACTTTCATTTAAAATGCTACTGAAGGACAACATCCAACGATTATTGAAACTAGGCTTGGGCCAAGCCGAGTTTGTCCTCGTTATGAAAATATTCCGCAACAGCGAGACTTCGGCTGCAAACAAACAGAGGCTCTTCTTCCTCTGCCAATGCTCGACACCCAACGTCTTCCCAAAGACAATCGCGAACCTCAGACTACCGTATGATTTTGGAATTGAATCGATCACTGAGAAATCCAAACAGAGAACAAAACGTTTCGTCCTAAACGAAAGCAAAAGAGCACTCCGGAGAATCATTGCCATTAAACAACACGAAAAACGACAACTCGATGAAAGGATAACATCGGACTTCACACCTGACGTGGCATCTAAAATACGCTCCCAAAGATACTTGGCGTACAACACCGCTAGCAATCTACACAACAGAAAATTGCTAACGCTGCTAGACAACCTCACGAACCTGAGCAGTGCCAACATCTCGGAGAATAATAGTCCAAATAACTTGTCCGACCAAACAAATACAGCTACCGACCCTGAGAACAACTCGAACAGCACCGATACTAACAACACAAGTTCCTCAGACAACGTCACCACAAACAAACCCAATCTGGTCACCGACCTCACTAGTAACCTCAACGCCCAAGAAATCAGTCTCCTATCTAAAGCCCCCAAGTTCAGCCTCTCCCCTGGCATAAGCGAACACACGATCACGGGCATCAATATAGAATTCTATCGACTAGCCAACCAAATACGATGGAAACACTTTCGAGAATCAAACTTTCAACCCTCAGACTTCCTCACCTACCCACAGTCCCGACACATCTACAAACCCGAATCTAAAGACGAACTTGAAAGAAAGCTCCAGAGGATCCACCTCAAACTCCAAGTCACCCTTAAAGAACTACAACCTCAAAGGAAGTGGTCGAACATCAGCCACGCAGACAAGAAAGTAATCAAGGAACTCAAAGAGAAGAACTACATCTGCCTCCCCAGCGATAAAGGCACAGAATTCTGCGTAATACAGCAAGACACGTACACACAAGTAGCCCTAGCTCACCTCAGCGACTCCAACACCTACCAAAAGGTACCCTGAATGTTGGCCAAAACAGTCGAGAACAAAGTAAACTCAACTTGGAAAAACGTCTGCCTACAGAACGAGTTCCCTACTTTTGTCCAGAAGAGCTTCATCGCCGCGAACACCGATCTCCCCAGGTTCTACCACCATATCAAAACCCATAAAACTGGTCCAGTTTTTAAAATACGACCCATTGTATCTAACACCAATGGACCAACCCAGCGCCTCTCATGGTTGCTCGCCAACTCCCTTAAGCCAATGCTGAATGACGTTGCAGCGCATCTAGAAAATAGCCTCGAGCTCATCAAGTGCATCCAAGCCGGCGATTTCACCACCAACAAAACGCTACCATATCCATGCAGCCTGGATGTGGTGTCCTTGTACACTTCAATACCCATACAAGAAGCCATTACCAACGCCACCGACAGAATTCACACCCCAATACTCCACCTCGCCAAACAAGACATAATAGACCTTCTCACAGTTACGCTAAACAACATGTACTTCTTCTTCAATGGTCAAGTTTTCCGCCAAAAAGAAGGCCTACCTATGGGTTCTAATATCTCAGACATTCTGCCCATCCTATTCATGGACAGACTGGACACCATCGCCCTCTCTTCACACTTATCTATAAGCCCCTACAGGAGATATGTTGACGACATTTATCTCCAAACAACTGGTGAGGAAATGGCAGACCAATTCCACTATACAATGAACAATCTGCACCCTAAATTGAAGTTTGAAATTGAGAAACCAGAAATAA